TCACGTTATATTAATATGAATGTGGATTTTGAACCTGTTTGATCAATAATACGATTCAATCAGAATTTAATAAAATTGTTAAAGAGAAATTACAGTTAAATAAAGTTGTTGTAATAGTTCCGGTTCAAAGTCACATTAATGTTATATTTACATTTACATCATGTTTCAATATATTTAATATATTTACATTCAAACTCTAATAAATATTTTATTTTTCAAAATTTTAAAAACTTTCACAGTAAATAGTTTGGAAAAGAAAAAATAACAATAAATAGAGTTTAATCTTTTTATATTAATTTATTGTTTCCAATATTTCTGTAACGTCAATGTTCAGTGTGAATGTTTGTCTTTCGTCTCTTTGGACAATAAACATTAAATTCATCAATATACTGAAATATTAAATAAGACATCAAATGATCATAAATCTGTTGTATGAGAAACACTCAGTTATAAATATTATTGTTTGTTTTATAAAGTGCTGCAATCTGTTGATCACAATAATAAACAAACAAACAAACAATAACAATCAACATGTTAAAAGCAGAAAGACACATTCGACTTTAACACTTAAATAAACAGTTAAATAAACGTTCGCTGTATTTAGATATGACATTAAATGACATTAACTGTAATTTATCTCCTCACAACCGCTAACAGAGCCGGTCCCGGACCTCCTGCGGTCCTACAGAACCAACAGGTCTCTGCCAGGATCCTGTTTGTGGACTCGAGCTCTGCTCCAGGACCGGCTCTCCCAGCTCGCTGTCAAAGAGTCCGCCTGCAGGTGGATCACAGACTTCCTGTCTGACAGCAGGTGAAGCTGGAGGAACATGGTCTCTGACTCCTGGACCATCAGCAGCGGATCCTTCATCAGCGCTCTTCCTCCTCTCATCTTCTTCCTGTACACCAACAGCTGCACCTCATCAGTCCGTCAGGATCCTGAAGCTCATGGAGGACAGCTCCCTCATCGGGCTCCTCTCTGGTGGAGATGGACCATCATCTGGTGACCCGGTGCAGCCAGAACCACCTGGAGCTCAACGCTCTAAAGACTGTGGAGATGGTTGTGGACTTCAGGAAGTCTATCAGGACCAAATCCTCACGCCACAATAAATATTCTCTCACTCTTTATGTTTGTTTATAGAAGCTCCTCCTTTTTTATTGTCTCTATCTTTATGTTTATTTATATGTTTGTATCTTGTTTGTGATTCTTTTGCACCAAAGTACCAAATCAGATTCCTCATAAGTGAAAACTATTTGGTGATAAACCTGATTCTGATACTATAAAACTATTTACAGAAAACAGAAAAATATCACTTAAAAACATTTTACTGTATTTTATTATATTGTACTGAAATATATCAGTTATATTAATATTGATACATTATAGTAATCATTATTACTAATAATTATGTATTCTTCAGTTACCAATATTATTATACTTAAATATACTTTATAGTTTTAATAATAATAATATCTTCCTGCTGTATGAAATTACCCACAATGCAATATAAAGTACAGTATTTTACTGTATAATGAGAAATGTGATATTGTACAGCAGGTATTGATCTGATTATTGACGACCGCTGGCTCCAGATCAGTCACTGTAGTGTCGGATCAATGAACATCTGCTGTGTTTTACTGACATTTAAAATAAGATAAAATCACTGAATCCTCAGATTGTTTAATATAATTATTGGGCTGCAGTCATTAGTGTAAAAAGTATATTAATCAGTTGAACTTTGACTCTTTTATTGATCATAACTCAACTGCAACAACTGTTAAACTTCAATTTAAAGACTTTTATTCAAACAAAGCCAATATTGTTTGTTTTTAAAATGATCAAACATTATAAACTAACACTGAACCTACATATTATTTTATCTCCTGTTCACTGCAGTTACTTCATTATGTGTTACAGCAGTTTAATAAAGTCCTGTGAACACACTCAGTGTCAGTAAAGGTTGTAAATATGATTTAAATAATAATGAACTGAGGAATATATGAGAGTGTGTACAATGTGATATTAATGTGCAGCAGATTGAAGTGATTCAGGTACAGCAGGAGACAGAAATGTAAGTGAATTAAAAGGTTGAATCAGAGGATTATTAACATATTAAACTGTGTTATCAGTGTCTTCACGTTCAATGGGACATTTGGTGGAAACTGGAGTTTTTCTCCCGGCGGATCCATCTGTGACAGGAGTCCGAGAACCGCCTGAGTCACCGGCGGCACCCGTGTGTTTACCTCCGCACAAAACTTCTCTGATTCAGAGCAAATAAATCCGTCCACCGCCGCGATTTCACTCTTATTGTCCGCTCACATGTCTCTGCTCACTGTAACACCACTGGGACTTTCACATACCGACAGATTTTATACATTTTAGGAGACGAAACGTGAAGACAGACTGCGAGTTGCACAAAGTGACTGTGTGTTACGGAGGTTTGAAGCCTCCTGGAAGTAAATCAGCGAGTCCTCGGCGCCAAACACGGAGCCGAGTGCGAAGGGACGGGCGTTTTCTCCCCGAAACAACAACAGTTGTGATCTCAAACGTTTCTCTCGCTGAATTTTATCCCCAAAATGTGGAGGAGAAAACACAAAGTGTCGCCACACGAGAGCAGGACGGCGGAGCGGCGGCGCGGGTTGACTCTCCACGGTTCTCATGTGCTTTATAAGTCCCGCCTCCTGCTCTCAGCTCGGACACCTTCACACAGACACAGCACAGACTGACAGACATGGCAGAAGAAGCTCCAGCAGCCGCCCCGGCGAAAGCCCCGGCCAAGGCCCCGAAGAAGAAGTCGGCTCCCCGGCCCAAGAAGGATGGACCCACCCCTCCCGAAGCTGATCATCAGCGCCGTGACCGAGTCCAAGGAGCGCAAGGGGCTGTCACTGGCGGGGCTGAAGAAGGTCCTGGCCGGCAAAGGCGTCGATGTGGCCAAGGCCAACAAGCGCATCAACACCGCCGTCACCAAGCTGGTGACCAAAGGCACCCTGGCCCGGACCTCCGGGACCGGCGCCTCCGGATCCTTCAAGCTCGCCAAGAAGGAGACCAAAGCCGCCAAACCCGTGAAGAAAGTGGTGAAGAAGAAGGCCCCCGTTAAAGCCAAGAAGCCCGCAGCCAAGAAAACCGCCGCCAAGAAAGCGACACCCAAGAAAGTGGCGCCCAAAAAGTCCCCGAAGAAGGCACCGGCCAAGAAAGCTGTCAAGAAGGCGCCAGTGAAGAAGAGTCCCAAGAAGGCTCCCGCCAAGAAGGTGGTGAAGAAGGCCGCTCCGAAGAAGAGTCCGGCAAAGAAAGCTCCGGCAAAAGCAGCTCCCAAGAAGACCAAGAAGTAAAGCGGTTTAATCCTGCACTCAGTGCACCAACGGCTCTTTTAAGAGCCACCACAGCTTCTACTAAAGAGCAGCTCCTCCATCCTCTACTGCTTATACTGTATATACTTTATACAACTGGAGGTTATTATTGTACATCTTTATTAAATATTAGATATTCAGTTACATTTACAGCTATCGGCTCAATATGGGGTTATAATTATTGTCCTGTTTTATATTTCAGTCATTCAGTGTCACAATAATGTTGATGAGAAGAATCTTCAGTCACTCTACAAATAACACAAAGTTAATTTATTTAAGTTTAATTATTTGTCTGTTGCACTCGTCCCAAATTAGTTTAAGGAATTCAGTTTTATACATTTCTATTATAGAATATATTTTTGTTACGGTGCTTTTTTCATGTTTTCTGTTCGTGTTAATGTCTCAAGCGTTTCATAAAATACACATTTACTACACTTATAACATTATTATTATTTTTAAATGGTCAGAATTTAAATAAAATAAAACTAGTTTGTTGTTAACTTGCTCTACTTATATAATTTTGAGATTCTTTAACATTTTATTTATGTATTTCTATGTTTATAATAGTTGTACGTTTATTACTTTTGTAGCTTTTTTAACATTATTTAGCTGAAAAGTTATTTTCAGGGGCGGATCTAGAGGAGTTGGGTCGGGGGGCCACTGCCCTAAAATGTCTAGACACCCCAGTTTGGTGTCAGTTTGAAGACATCTAACATCATTAATAGGTCATTAAATGTGTTAATGGATGTTTTATTGATCTCTGAAGAAATAAAATTGATTTCTAGTTAAAACTTTATTTAGGTTGTTTTTTTTCAAGCAAATATAACTGATTAATATTTCTGCTCCTTACAGTCAATATATCTTCCTCTGAATGTTATTTTACAGACCTCAATTATTTTATTGTTACAATAAAATGCATCATTATTGTGATGTTGATGATGTTTGTATATGTATGAATAAATCTGTTTATGATGAAAATCTTAATGACATTTTAATCATTCAATTATTTGGGCCCATTGTGGATTATTTCCACTTTAAAATAAACTTTATTGAAGTTTTACAAGACAACTTTACAACATTAAAGTGCAACCAGTGCCAAAAGTGCATTAATGTATATATAATATAATTATGTGAATTCATAATGATTATTTTCACCCTTTCTCTAATTGATCATTTATTGGTGAAAGTAATCCGATATCACTTCACACTGCGGAATAGTTTATAATGTATAATGATGATTTAATATTTATTATATTTAGTTTGTAAAGTCTCAAAGTATCAAACTGTCGTTAAATGTAGTAAAATAAACAAGTACAATGTTTCTGTCTGAAAATGAAGTAATTGTATCAGCACAATACTTAATTAATAATTCAATAAATAGTTCAGAGGAATAATGTAATAGATTACTATATATATCTACACACAGTGTGGTTCAGGATGTTTAACATTAATGGATATAAACAGTCTCTATGAAACCGTTCAACCAGACAACCGTTGGTGTCTCTCTTGTTCAACAGCCTGTCGCTGATTGGTTAGTTTGATTTTTTTCTGCCAATAGTCGATGAGCTAGAACGCGCGCGCAACTGTGGCTGGACCAATCAGCGCCGACCTCGCTGCGGCAGTTCCTTCATAAAGCCGCTGTTCGCAGTGAGAATTCATTCTTTCGCTGTGAACTCAGAGAAGACTAATAATCAACAATGGCCAGAACCAAGCAGACCGCCCGTAAGTCCACCGGAGGAAAGGCTCCCAGGAAGCAGCTGGCGACCAAGGCTGCCCGTAAGAGCGCCCCCGCCACCGGCGGAGTGAAGAAGCCCCACCGTTACAGGCCCGGTACCGTGGCTCTGAGGGAGATCCGCCGCTACCAGAAGTCCACCGAGCTGCTGATCCGCAAGCTGCCCTTCCAGCGCCTGGTGAGGGAGATCGCTCAGGACTTCAAGACCGACCTGCGCTTCCAGAGCTCCGCCGTCATGGCTCTGCAGGAGGCCAGCGAGGCTTACCTGGTGGGTCTGTTCGAGGACACCAACCTGTGCGCCATCCACGCCAAGAGGGTGACCATCATGCCCAAAGACATCCAGCTGGCCCGCCGTATCCGCGGAGAGAGGGCTTAAACTGACCTGAGACCCGATAACCAACAACACAACGGCTCTTTTAAGAGCCACATACATCCGATAAGAGCAAAGTTTCCGTCAGTTCATGCAGCTGCTTGTTTTATTAATAATCAATATTCTCTATTTATGCACAATAAGGCTTTTATATCATATTAGTTAAGATTTACTGAGTTGTACATTAATAGATTCTAATATTTAACTTCCTACTGTCTCTACTAATGTCCATATGGAAAGCAATAGTATCAAATGTATTATATTAATGTATACTACATAGTGGTGGTTCACTGACCTAATAGCTTTTATATGTATTCCTTTACATTATTTTCAACACTTACTTACCCACCAATACACGTATATTTCTGTTTAATAGCTTCATTGAGAGTGACTACTCATACATAGAACTAAAGTTTGTGGTTGCGCTCTGCATCCCTATGCACCATATCACTTTAACTTGACATCTATCACTCTGTCATCCAGGTATGTTGTGAACAGTATGGCCTTTTCTTTTTATCTGTGTGTATCAAGTGTGATCCTGTGTGGGATACCATATATGTATCAATATGTTGATGTCCTGAGCAAACTGAAGCAAATCCCTAGCAACTTGCACTGAGTTGTATGGCAAAGTATTGAATCCTTACTGTTGCAATACAAAAGTGGGAAAGTAATACAGGGTTAGAGTAGAAATAAAAAATAAAATAAAGGCTAACCTAAAATAAATCAAACAATTAACTAAATGTAAGCACATACAGATAACATAAGTAGAAAAAAAAGAAAACTAGTAACTAAATGTGACAAAATGCAACAAAGATTGCAGTTAAATGTAGGTATACACAACAATATGCACCATGCAGTTTAGCAGCATAAATTGCAGATAAAATTATACAATTATCTATATTCAAATCCAACATAAGTATTATTGAACCGTTCCTGCATTTTATTTTAGAACCTGTAGTTTAAAAGTACCTTCATGTATTTACATATAATCTAAGTGCACCATCTTTGTTCCTATAAATCATGGTGATGCTATTATTAGTTACATGCTAGTCTACTCAAAGACTAAGTTCATTTTAGCAAATTTTATATTCAAACTGTTTCTTTAAAGTTTCCTGACTTTTTATACACTGTTAATAGTTCTCCCAGCTACCAGTTTCTGTAAACAATGTTAATGTGTTCCTTATTTAGCGTTTATTCAGTGGCAGACTGCAACAGCTCCTAGTTAGAGGAAGGAGGATAAAGGACAAATCCTGCCTCCATCTGCACAGTTCACTGTGTTATGAGTTTCTCATTGTAGGTTTATTGTTTACTACTGGAAACACACATAAGGGATACTCAGGATAAATAAAGTATTTATATATAGTGGCTGTTATTCATATCATTGATAACTTTCAGTAATAGTCACTGATAATCAAGAGGAACTGTCTCGTTAGTTAGGAGTGTGTGGCTCTTAAAAGAGCCGTTGTGTTGTGTTCAAGTCGGATCCGGGTATTTACTTCTTGGCGACCTTCTCGGTCTTCTTGGGCAGCAGGACGGCCTGGATGTTGGGCAGGACGCCTCCCTGAGCGATGGTGACTCCACCCAGCAGTTTGTTCAGCTCCTCGTCGTTGCGGACGGCCAGCTGCAGATGGCGGGGGATGATTCTGGTCTTCTTGTTGTCACGGGCGGCGTTTCCGGCCAACTCCAGGATCTCAGCGGTGAGGTACTCCAGCACGGCGGCCAGGTACACCGGAGCTCCGGCACCGACACGCTGAGCGTAGTTTCCCTTCCTCAGCAGCCTGTGGACACGGCCGACGGGGAACTGGAGTCCGGCACGGGATGAACGGCTCTTTGCCTTTGCTCTGGCCTTTCCGGCTCCGGTCTTTCCACGTCCAGACATTTTCAGGTTATTTCTCGAGTCAGAGTCGAAAGGGAGAATGTTTCTCAGAGAGCGGAACCCAACTTTATACCGAGCAGCGAGCGAGCGTTACTCTGATCGGCCAATCAGAAACGAGCTCGTTCTAGCTTTCTGTCATTAGAACGCTTCCGTTTGGCGCCATTCGGCCTTTTCACAATAAAACAAGACCGCTCAAACTGGACTATTCTTCAATTTAACCGCCAGAATGTTTATAAGAGAAAGACTCATTGTGGATGAGTTAGACAAAGAAAAACATCAGTCACACATTCCCAAATATAATATACACTATAAACATATACCAGATATGTGTCTAAAATATATTAGATTTAATAGGATTTAATAAAAGTATTAAATTATATTATAGTATTAGTATTATAGTATTTAATAAAATATTTAATAAAAGTAATCATATTACTTAAAATGCAATAGGCTACTAAACAATACTTATATGACCTAAAAACGTATTTTCTTGATATGAAAAGAAATGAGAGTGAAGCTTTTTTGTCTCATATAGCCTGAATTTAATTTAATGTAGATCATAAACTAAATAGTTTAACTGCTTCTGATCGTGCCTTTATTTTGAAGGTTAAACACAAACCCCATGTTAATCTGTTGATGAACGGTGCTTTAGTTTCCCTCCAAAAATGTAATCAGACATCTGTTCACCTCAAAAACAAGTTATATTTGTATGTATTTATATATTAATTGAATATCTCCTCCTCAGTTCTTAGTACATTTCTTCAGATCATTCAGATGTAGAAGAAATGTGTTTATATGGACACTAATCTCTCAAACGTTTGTCTTTGTGAATATAGAAAGTGGTAAAAACATTGAATTCAGTTTATTCCCCTAAAATCAGCACAACCTGCCATCCAGTGATGTTTCTAAATAAAATCAAATATACAGTAAAACTCGAGAAATATGTTTATAATTGTAGAAAGAAACACAGCAAACGTATACAAATCCATCCAATTTATTCAGAAAACAGAAGAAAGTGACTACAGGAAGAAACCTTACAACACTTAAAACATATATCAGGTAAAATGATGAAAAAAAAACACAAACACTTTATTATCTGCTCTACATTAGTATTATAGTGACGTGTTGGTCAGGAACCAGTCAGCTCCCTATTTCTGTTCTTTATAAGTTACATGAATAATTATTACCCTATAACATTAAATATAATCCAGAACTACAGACTATAAGTGATGTAGTTACTAATATAAAGTATAAAATGTCCAATACACAAATGTAATAGTGGTTTATGTTTACATTAATTGTTTTATATACAGGAAGGTTGGTTTAACTAAATACATTTAATATGTGAACAAATACTGAAACACTAATATATTTATAATAATCAATATATACACACACTAGTGTAGGTGAGGATGGGAAGTATTGGGATATTAATCATCTAAAATTGTAGCATTACCTAGGTGTCTATTAAATGACAACTAAGGAAATCCTTAGTAAATCATTTTAAATTGTTCAGAAGAGATATTTAAAATGATGTGTGTATATTATAATATGTTTCTGATGTCAGTGATTGTAACAGGAGGATCAGAGCTCTCAGTAGAAGCAGTGGGTGGTCCTGAAAAGGACCGTTGTTGTTGTTGAGTAAACAGCTGTTTACTTGGAGCTGGTGTATTTGGTCACGGCCTTTGTCCCTTCGGACACGGCGTGCTTGGCCAGCTCGCCGGGCAGCAGCAGGCGGACGGCGGTCTGGATCTCCCTGGAGGTGATGGTGGAGCGCTTGTTGTAGTGAGCCAGACGGGAGGCCTCACCGGCGATACGCTCGAAGATGTCGCTCACGAAGGAGTTCATGATGCCCATGGCCTTGGAGGAGATCCCGGTGTCGGGGTGGACCTGCTTCAGGACTTTGTACACGTAGATGGCATAGCTCTCCTTCCTGGTCCTTCTCCTCTTCTTGCCGCTCTTGGTTGCCTTGGAGACGGCTTTCTTGGAGCCCTTCTTCGGTGCTTTGGGTGGTTCAGGCATGTTGATTTCGGATTGGATGTCCTTGATCAGATGAAGTCGGTACCGGCGGACGGCTCTGTTTATATGTTCATGATGCAAATCTCACTGCGCTGTTGCTCGCACGGGATTGGCTGAGTGGTTACCCTACACACTGCGCATGCGCCAAGGAACCGCCTGAACAGATCATTCACAGCCATTAAAGTTCAGACAGAAACAGAAAATACTAATAAAATACATAATGTGAATATGTGTGAACTGCTCTGTGCTGCAGGTCGCTCCTGTAACACTGATTCAACAGATTAAACCACTAAATATACAGTTAATAAACACACAGTGATCAATATCACCTGAAGGATGTTTATCAGCTGTTGTCCCAATATTACATTAGTCTTTATCACAGTCCCCGAATATCCTGGAAATAATCTACATATTCCTGGAAATGTTTCATTGTATTTTAGTCTTTTGTTTAATACTCGACTGTTGGACGACACAAAGTATGTTTAACTGATTTGAAGCTGAATGGAAATCATTTTAAAAGCTCCTTTTTATGTCAGTCTTTTCACAGCAATGAGTGAAACGGACGGGCAGCGATCTTTTCTGCGTCTAAATGAACATTAATGAGACACTTCATCATTTAAAAGTGATTCATTAAAATAAGAATCAACTTTATATAAATAACACCTTTTAAAATCAGGTTTACAAAGTGCTTTTAATGGTAAAACATCAGGAATCAAACACTAAGAACCATCAGTAACAATATAAAAATAAAACAACACAATCACAGTGAATAAAAGGTGAGATAGAAAGATCACAGGAAGCAATATTGTTATAAAAGTGTTGTTTTAATGAAGTGAATTTTCCTTCCTGATCTCCTCTGATTATAACTCTGGTTTTGGGAACCTGAACGCAGCATTTGAGGACCTCGGGGTCACATAAGAGGTCGGAGATAAACTGTAACTCATTCCAGTTCTTAAAAGTGATAATTAAACTTTAAATCCACTCTCACACTAACATCAGTGCTGTGTGTTCTTGTTTTCTGATACCTGTTAAAGTCCTTGATGCTGTTTTTATATCAGTTGTATCGTCAGTTTACGTCCTTGAGACAGTCGACGAGTGAACACATCCATTAAAGTTATCGGGGTCGGAGCTGAGGAAGACCTGGGTGTCGTACAGTGAAGGAGGACGAGAACCACGATCAACACTAAAGAGATTAAATCAGTTTATAATATTTTTATTATAAAATGTATAAAGATTTTAACCCTGTTTAACCCAAATAGAGAAAAACCCAGAAGAAAAAATGATTTTATCTTTCAGATGTTATTGTAGGAGGCCTTTGATGCAGAAATTAAAGTGTGTGTTTTTTTATTTTTAAGTGTTTATAAGATGTACATGTACCAGAGACAGGATTTGATGGGGAACTTATATTTGGCTTTCCCCTTGAAAGGAATCATCATGCTCTTCTGGTACCAACTGCAGGCATTTCTCTCTGAATGAATCAAACCATGGTCTGAGTTTCCATAGTTTGTCTTTCTTTTCCATCTCAGATACTGTCATGTTGTTTACAAAATGTAATGACGTCAACAGGGGAGTACCGTGTCTCTGTCTCCCAATACATACGGGTTCCAGCCATTTGTACCAGGCCCATCTTCAGGTACATGCCAAACATTTTTTCAGTTTCCTTCGCAGTGGTGTTTACAGATGTTCCATGTGTCTGAAAGCTGTACTCATTTGTGTTTTGTGTCAGAGCCTCAATCATGTCCTGGACACAAACTTCTGGAAGTATTCCAATAGTGTGTGGAGGGAAATGTCATCTCCTGTGATATCCAGACAGTTTTCTTTGTCCACTTGTTGACAGACATCTTCATCTGAGTCTTTATCAGTCTCATCAGAGTCATCGAGATCCATCTCAACTTCACTCTCTCCAGTTTGGATAATATCAATCACATCCTGTACACTGTATCGCGGCTCTGTCCTTGCTGGTGGCATTCTGAAAATAAAATATTAATTAATTAACATGTATAAATATGCTTTTTAGTAGTACATAACCTGAAGGAATAGATAGGGTGGTGGACCAAGTGCTCAGGGTAGAAATGTTTTCCAGGCAGATAATACTGTCTGCTTATTGTAAGTCGCTTTGGATAAAAGCGTCTGCTAAATGGCCTACATGTAAATGTAAATGTAAATTAGTCTATGCTCTCTACTTATCATGCTAAATGAAACATGCATCCCAACCACCAGCCATATAGTCGCACAATACTGCCTTGACATAACAATTCGGCTTGTCATGCTCTCTAATTATCATACTAAAAGGAAAACATGCATACCCCCACTTCCATCCACACCCCACATTCAGGAACATTTTCACCTTTCCCAGAACTGAATTGTCTGTTGATATCCTCTTTGTGGACAAACTCATGGAAATTTAGGTCAGTCTGATCAAATTAACTACATTTTTTAGAGATAAAACTTTTAAATCTGTCAAATTTGACCAGAACACAACACAAGGGTAGAATGAATACTATCCATGTATAAAAAAAATACTCTGTTTCAGGCAGTGGTGTAGTGGAGGGAATGCAACCTGTTTGTGCCCACTGCAACAAGCATGCTATTTTTACTACCACACTCACCCAAATATATAACAAGCTCTAAATGAAATTTGATGAGTCTATTCCACAATAACTACATATGCAATGCTCTAGACATTGTAATAACATTTTACTTACTTGAATCTGATGAATACAGTCCAATAAAACAAAGAGATATTGTTTGAAGGAAACCTTGTGAGGTTGTGTGAGTTCATGGCCATAAGGAGGGACTAAACAAATGTACCACCCAATAGCATTGTGAGACTGAACAATACGTTGGGTCCTATTGTTCAGTCTCACAATGCTATTATGTACCACTATGGAAATGTGGTAAAAAAATAAGATAAGATATTTAGGATGGATAAAGTTAACGCTGTAATTTTACAACAAGGGGTGTTACAGGGACGTGTAGAAAAGAGGCTCCGCCCAGTGAACTACGCGCTGCCTGTCCTCTGTTACGTCCGCAGTCAGGCTGTAAATAGTGACGGTCGAGCAGCATCCACTCATTCACCGTTGACTAACCAACAGTAAGAAAATGTCTGGCCGCGGAAAAGGAGGCAAAGGACTCGGTAAAGGAGGCGCCAAGCGTCACCGTAAAGTTCTCCGTGATAACATCCAGGGAATCACCAAACCCGCCATCCGCCGTCTGGCTCGCCGTGGCGGTGTGAAGCGTATCTCCGGTCTGATCTACGAGGAGACCCGCGGTGTGCTCAAGGTGTTCCTGGAGAACGTGATCCGTGATGCCGTCACCTACACCGAGCACGCCAAGAGGAAGACCGTCACCGCCATGGACGTGGTGTACGCTCTGAAGAGGCAGGGCCGCACCCTGTACGGCTTCGGGGGTTAAAGCTCATCCAGACCCGCTGACAACGAACCAAAGGCTCTTTTAAGAGCCACACACTTTATCTGCAGAGCCCACAGTCCCTGATCATTTTATTTTAGTTCTCAGATTATATATATTTATATATGTGTGGTCAGTGTTGACCAACAAGAAGTTGTACTTGACTATTATCAGCGTGGACCGTTAGAACTCCAGTTTCCTTCAATATGAACTTCTCTATTCATACAGTGGAAACAAATACACTAGAACTAAACTTGCAACAATGTATCATAATGTAAAATTGTTTTCACTGAGCATATATAACATAATCTTGAGGGGGAAAAATACATATTACATTTACTTGCAAGTTTCATAAATGGATTTCATCAAGGCTTTATAGTCCTATATATAATTCATATTGTGGTATTGAATTAAGTTAGTTTTTGCTCTTTACATTTTTTTAAATGTATTTATAATAAATGGCTCCATGTAGGATAGGCATTGTGGTTTTTGTGTTCTTTAAGTAGAACATAATACATTTGCATTATTGTATTAATTTTTACATACTATATACTTATACTAGTTTTAACAAAAGACTAATTCATTGATAAAATGGTGACTTGATCAAAGCATGTCTATAAAGAGATACAGCATTTTAATTTTGTGTATGAAAAATTAATTCCTGATAGTGATTGATACACACGGATAATCACATTTCAGCATTAATAATAAGAAAATGTTTGTAAACTTAAAGCAGAACTTGTTACTTTGGTTCAGGATGCATAATAGAGGCAGGATGGTCCATTAACTGATCAAAGCAGCAAGAACAGAATAAAATTGTTCAGTCTTTAGAATCAGAATCTGGTTTATTATTATCATAGGAGGAATTTGCCTTGGTGCAAAGAATCACAAAAAATCAAATACTAAAGATATAAATATTCCTGTCCTTCTTAATGAGGCCGGCTATATGTAAACAAATTAATAAATGCAATGTTTGAACTCAACATCCCCTTTATCTGATATTAAAATATCTCCGTGGACAGAATTCACTCATATGTTAACTTATATTGTTTTAAAGACAACCTCAAAGTACGTGTTCCTATCGAACTGAAGCAAAGGAGATCAATAAACTGATCACTGGTTTATTTTCATGGTTACAAATGTTTTTGTAATTGTCCTGAAACGACTGTCGGCTGTTTCTCCTGCTGATTCAGTGATATTTTATATAGTGAATATATATATATATAGTCTTCTGATTAATAATGTATTCTTTTATTTTGAAACAGTCACTTTGTTTTTTAGCCTTTTTGAAACTTTTGTATTGTTAAATCAATACATATCATTTTATGAAAAAGAGTGACTGTGTATCACTCAGGACATTTACTACGTCCGGGATCCATCGAGGAAACTAAATTAATTCATCATTACACCAACATTATATGTATTGATCTGTGATTGATCAGTAAACTGTGTGAACGTCTTTAAACAGACTGCGTTTATGTTAATATAACGTGACATAATTCACTTTAATTAACATTTTCTAATTTAAAGCTCCAGTGTGAAACATTGAGGAGGATCTATTGTCAGAAATATAATTATATATATTTATATTCACGGATACGTTTTCATTGGTGAATAATTAAATAGGAATTGTTGTGTTTTTGTTTCCCAACCTTTTTCCTTATATGATCCTTTTCTATCACTTAATAAACATTAGTGACATATGTAATGTATATTTCATATTATATTCAAGCTGTACAATAAACTCAAACAGTGAACTCTTGAATTTTGAGCAGATTATTTCTTGTTTAAGGAACTTTTTCATACAATTCTCTGTGTGTATTATGTATTTTTATGATTTTTACAGACTTATCCTGTGAAATTAAACATTGTGCTTAATGAAATGTAATTAAACAAAAACATAACCTTAATGAATGGACATTATGATTTTAGGACCTTTAAATACACAGTATAGTACTTTTAACACTTAATCATCACTACTTACATTTAGCATCAGACTAATTTCAGTTATCGACGAATGGCGACTTGATCAAAGCTTTTATTATGAAGACATGAAAACATGAATTCCCAATATAGTTACTGACTCGCTAAATACACTATAATGCTCATATTTCAGGATTAATGACTTAATCTGCTTCTTTCTTGACGAATTCTGTGTTTTCTATTTGACAATTTACATTATTATTATTTTTCTTTACAGAAATGAACCAAATGCTGAGAATCGGCCTGTTGTGTGTATTAAGTTTTCTTTTTGATCGAGATCATCAGAGGGCGACAGATGTCCATCGGGTACTTTGACCTTGACTTTTACGGTTTATTTTTTGGGCCGTTCTGAAGACAGGAAAGTGACGTCTATCTGCTCTTATCTAAACACAACAACCTGAATACAACACAGACACTTTCCTGATATTTCCCTGTTGGTGTAAAAGGTATAATACTGGAATTTAATCCATTCAATATCAGACTGATTTGATCCGTGAGCTCACCTGAGATTAACAGCTGGAGCACAAACATCCACACAGCTCTTTGTTTGTAATTAAACTACAGTAAAAGTGTTATAAAGGGTTTATAAAGTGTTTCTGTATAAGTGTGATTGTTGTGACAGTAGATTGTGCTGAGGGAGGCTGTTTAATAAGGAAATACAATACAAACCAGTTAATTAACATCAAATAAATCAAAATAAATAAAACAAATTACAATAATAAAGACAATACAGGCAAAGAAGAACAGACTTCCTTATACATTACAGAAATAACTTTAAATTTCAGCATTAATATAAAATAAGGCTGTTTAATCTGTTTTTATAGTTTCAGTCAATAAAGCCGATCAAAACTGGTCAACTCAGGATGGACGGAGGAAGATTTCAGATTTCAGTTTTTTATTGTTTAATCGGAAATGTTCTGTCCATAATTTACATTATCGGGGAATTATTGATAAAAAGTGGATTATAACTATAAATAAAGAGTAAATATTGTCAAAACCTTCATCACACCAACATATATATATGCAGGGCCGGCTCTAGGTATAGGCGATACAGGCGGTCACCTAAAGCGCCATCTGCTGGAGGGGCGCCGCCAGTCACCCTCGAGGGAGAAAAAAACAACAACAAAAAAAACCAATAACACAACAATAATAATTTTCGTTGCCCATCTGCCTCCCTTCGTGTTCTGTCTTTAAAATAATAAATATTAACAAAATAAAGTAACAGATAAACAATGACATGTTTCTCACTTGTGGTGCTGAGTCACGTGACGTGTGGTCATTGGCTGCACACCTCAGAGGGTAAGACAGGTGTCAGAGGTCAGGTCACGTCAAGGGACAGACAGGTTATGTTTTGATATATCTTGCACACTGCTGGCGAGATGAAACGGCCGTCAAAGCCCTCGAGTGAGCAGTACCGAAAGAGAAGAAAAGAGGAGGAGGAGGAGAAGTCCCAATATTAAGATAACATTACGTCATCTTTTTTAAATCCCGTTTTGTGTGACGACGTTTCATTTGTATTAGCTTGCTAGCTAAGTTGAAATAAAGCAACGCTAGCTTAACACTAGAACGGCCAAGAAGTTAATTTGGACCGTTTTCAAATTTATATGTGCAATAACTTTGTTGAATGAAAAAATGCAATACTGCTGTTACCTGACTTTAACTAAAAGTGTCTGTATTTTAATTTAGAATAGTTTTTATATAAATATAAATTATACAAATGTGATCGTGTATTGAAGCAGCATGTTGCTGACGTGGAAACACGAGTTAACTGTACATCCTACTTAGGAAAAAATATTCAAAATGAACTTACTGATTGCACTCGTGGAAAGCTCCTGGAAGTTATAGTCAAAGAAATTCAATAAAATAAATACTTCTCAATCATTTTGGATTGCACCCCTGATTTGAGCCATGAAGAGCAACTGTCGGTCATTATTTGTTGCAGTTGAGGACACCCACAAATAAAAGAACATTTTATGTGGTTCCTTGAGGCAGAAGAGTCCACTGGAGAAAACCTTTCAACCCTCATCCCAAGGAGACTCAAAGAGCTCAGCATCCCATTTGAAGACTGCAGAGGGCAGTCTTATGACAATGGTGCCAATATGAAAGGGAAGAAGAAAGGTGTCCAAGCCAGACTCCTTGAAAAACATCTTAGAGCTTTATTTGTGCCATGCGGAGCACATATAGTGAATCTGGTAGTAGCTGATGCAGCAAAAAGCTCTGCAGATGCCACCAGCTACTTTGGCTACCTGCAGAAGCTTTTCACACTATTTTCTGCCTCCACACAGAGATGGTCCATCTTAAAAAATATGTGACCACAACCCTGAAATCCTGGTCAGATACTAGATGGGAGAGTCGTATCAACAGTGTAGAGGCTGTGAGATACCAGGCTGCAGAAGTCAGGGATGCACTTATAGAAGTGAGGGACAACGCCACAGATCCAGCCTTAAAAATCGAGGCACAATCTTTGGCCGAAGAGGTTGGATCTTACCGCTTCTCAATCTGTACTGTGGTATGGCATGACATCCTGACCAAAATTCAGCATGTCAGCAAACTATTACAATCAGAGACAATGCAGATGGATGTTGCAGTCAACCTTCTGAGGAAAACGGAAGCCTCTTTTATCAGCTACAGTTCGCCTAGGGCACCAAATGGGCTAGAGCCATATTATATATATATATATATATATATATATAAGCACTGAGGTGACACATGATGTATAAAGTAAGAACCTGTGGACTTGCTGTTAGAGTTGTTGTGTAACAAAGAGACACAACAGCATCTTTTAATGGACAGAGAGCAGGATGGACTAAATAAATTAAACTAAAATATAATATTTTTTTTCCATAATAATAATAATAATAATAATAATAAGTGATTATGTTTGTATGTTTTAAACTGGGGGGGGGGGACTTTCAGTATTAGCGTCTTTATTTATGCTTGAATGATAAACAAGCCTCCAGTCACTAGTTGTCAGATGGAGATGTTTCTGACAGGAGTGAAAAGAAAGACAGAGGAGGCGTCAGAGGCAAGAAGAGCAAGTGACGGTAACCGGCATAAACCTAATGAGAGCAGGAAATACGACGAAGCCTACATAGCCTTTGGGTTTACCGTGAATACGGTCAGACACGAGGAAAGACTTGTTTGTGTTTTATGTCTAAAAACTCTGGCAGCATGAAACCAGACTAATGGAGACCTTACACCCCAGTTATGTCAATAATTTAAATTCAATTCAATTTTATTTGTATAGCTCCAATTCATAACAGAAGTTATCTCAGGACACTTTTCAAATAGAGCAGGTCTAGACCGAACTCTTTATAACATTAATTACAGAGACCCAACAGTACCACCATGAGCAAGACCTTGGAGACAAGGGCAAGGGAAACACTGCCTGTTAAAAGGCAGAAACCTAGGACAGATCCTCCGGCTCTAGGTGGGTGGTCGTCTGTCTCGACCAATTGGGGAGAGAGAGAGATGCACAGCCACAACAGTAACAACAACTACACTAATAGTAGTGACTGATGATGATGAACATGACAACAGCAACAATGGAGCGGTATCTATCGGTGAGAGCAGCGCTGACGGTGTTGGTATTTTCTTTAAAACTCATGATGTTGAGATAATCAGGAGAAGAGACATTATTCCAGGTAGACTGCTGATGTTGGATTGTTTTTATCAGGGTGAAATATAGCTTATATTAATGTTTACACTGCTTCAGAAAGAACTAAGAAGTGTCGGTTGTTCAGAAAACTCTCAGAATTAACTTTGGTTGGTTTTAATATTATTTTATGTGGATATTTTAATACAGTAACTGAAGAAAATGACTGAGTGAGCAGCACAGTGTTTAAACTGAGCTCTGAGGGGAAACTTTTAAAGGAAATGTGTGAAGAATCAAAGTTAACTGATATGTAGAGCTGTTAACCCCTTAGAACTGAATTTACTAGGTTTGATTCAAAAACCAAAACTCGTATTGATAGAATATACGTATCCTCCAACTTTAATGTAACTCACTGTGGAACTGTGTTAAATGATTTTTTTTGATCATCTTCTAGTTAAAACCTCTTTGTCATCTGGAGCCTCAGCCAATAGAGGTTTCTGGAAACTTAATACACACAACTTAAAAGACTCAGACTTGATAACTCCCAGGCTGGCATCATAGTCAGGACGGGGAGGAAGTAGAGGGCGAGAGAAGCAGTCGGGCAGGCTGAGCCACGC